ACCTAGAAGACCATCTGTAACTAAATATTCTTTTGACTGATTTGTGGTAACAGCTGGACCCTTGGGTATAGAGAGAGCTCCAATTTAAGGCTGAGGTTTTATTCCAGCCTCTGCCAATCACTAGCCCAATATATGACCTGGCACAGGTTCTTGGCCAGTGTTGCTCATGCATCGTGAGACCCAACCTCCAGGTAAATGGAAAGTGTACCAGAAAGGCAGATAGACGTGCACTTGGGTTCTGGGTCCTGGCTCAACCACCTGTAGACAGTGTGAGTCTGTGTGAGATATAATCTCTCTAACCTCAGGCTTTTCCTCCATGAAACAGGGATAATAACACCATCTTAGGAGGCTAGCTAGAGGGTTGGGCCTCCAGGGGAGGGTAATACATTTTGTTCTCCACCCCCACCAAAAGTCATATCTATAAAATTAGGGCGGGAAGGGGCCGTGTTGGAATGTAATAACCAATCCTGAGATTCAGCTCCTTTCCGTATGAGCTAGCAAGGTCCCTCGTCCTGACTAGGTCTTAAGGGGAAGTAGAGTCCTGGCAAGATCAACCTTAGAGGTCAAGACCAGGAAGAAGGCTGGGGTTGGATGTATCTATAGTCTGGGAAGTGTCGTTCTCTCTCCCATGTGGCTTCCAGAAACTAAGGCCTGTCTTTCCTGGCACAATGTACCAGTTCAAGTGGCTGAATACAACCTCTCTGCTGCTTGCTAAATAGTCCCTGCCTTGACCTCCAAGCCCCTGGTGTTCCCTGCTCCTCATCCCAGGGTCTTCCCCATGCCCTGTGTACTGAGGATTTTGTCCGTCCCTAACCCAAAGCTGCAGCTCAGTAGCCTGGTGCCTGACCATGTTTATTATTAAAAAGTTTTACTTTCACCTTGATACTCAATTCTCTTTCTGGGATGGACTTATACAATCCCTAAAGTTTTACTACACCACAAATGACTCCATAACCTTGTTTTCCACTGGTTTCTGGTTTCCATCTGCATATTCATAGACACCAGGCTGTATGTTTTTGCATCTTACTACTATAGATCAATTACCTCTGGGGCCATGAATTTTTGGTCACTTCAAACACCAATCCTGTTGAGTTGTTTTATCAGGAACAAACATTCTTTTCAATCCAAGGTCATTTTACATAGGCCCAGTTCCTGGAATTCACTTGGACCCAGACTCAAGTCCCATAGTCCTTGCATACTACCATGGTCCCTCTGCAGTGTCTCTCAAACTCTTTGTAGGCTCTATCTGTAGCTGGCGAAAAGTAAGGGCACTTTTTGGAGTATTTTGAAATTGGGTCTCTCCTGAAAATTCCTGAACTAGAAGGTGTGATCCGAGGGGCAAGGAGACCACTGAGGAGTCCTCTGTGCCTACTAAAAAATGGTAACTTCTCTAAGGACTCTGATAGTTGTGATGTGCTCTAGATGTTCACCAAAAGGGAATGTTCATGGAACACATCAATAGAAATGTTAGTTAAAACACAGCCAGTAGATGGACTTCCAAGTTTGGGGGTTATTTGGGGGCTTTGGGGAGGATTCATGGTAAATAGTAGTCTGTTAGAAAAATTGGTTCTGAGAGAAGAAGACCAAGGAGAGGAGATGAACACAAGCAGAATCTGCTTTGTGATCACCAAGGACCACTTTCAGTAAGGTGAGAGTATAGCAGTGGTCCTGAACACAGCCTTGAGGGTTAGAGTTGTATTCAAAGTCGAAGTTCCTCTGATTCTAGCTCTATGTCAAAGGACTTAGACCCAGATTCTCCATCTGTAAAGTGAGGCTAGTCAGAACTGCTCTACAGGGTGATTGTAAGGATTGGGCAAGATTGTCTACACAGAATAAGTGCACGGCATGTGGCACGTGGTAGACCCTCAACAGATGGCCACTTACATCACTATTATTGTTGCAGAGTTAGAGTAGGACGAAATGGTTGACTTCATTGGCAGATAATAGACAAGAATGTTTCCTGGAAGGCAGGAGACTTTGGGTGAGGTCCCTAGAGAAGTGGTGGATTCTCTTTCTCCCCTAGAACAGACAAGGAGCCAGGTTGGGCCACCAGCAGCCCCTCCTGGTTGCAGGAGAAGGGCTGTGATGGTTGAAAGGACGGGGGGCCTTGTGTTCAGAGTCCTGCAATGTCAAGGACTAACCCTGCTGGGGTGAGACCTTTGCAGCTTCCCACCGGGACTCCAGGTGCCCTCTGAAAAAGCAGCCGATGGGATCAGACTTGCCAGGACCACACTCCTGCTGCAAGTCAACTCCTGCCTCCTCACCAAGCCAGACCAGGACCCACTCTGCCCAGGAGGGAGTGAGAAATGAGGAGCCCACAGTACTCAGAGAGCTCGTGTGTTTCCAGAACAAGAAGAGAGGCAGTGTGAGTGAGCTTTGGCTCAAGTCAGGATGCTCATAACAGAAAGCTGATAGAGCAGGTTATTCTTCATGAATAGTCAATATTTCAGAGTTAATTCACAAGAGGAATCCTTGGACTTATGTGTGACTGTCAATTTGACTTTTTGTTTTGAAGTAGCTGTTGGGGAGAGGCAAGGAGAGGAAGAGACCCTGAAATTACATGTCTACGTCAGGATCTAAATAACTTGGCTTTCCCAGAATCATCATTCTCTTGTTGCTGGTTAGAATTAAGCACCAGAGGGCTGGGGATGTAGCGCAGAGCAGAGCACTTGCTTAGCATGTGTAAGGCCCTGGGTTCAATCTCCAGCACTGAAACCTAAGAATTAAGCCCCAGAAAAGTTTGGAAGGACAGACAGCAAAGTAATACTGCTGATGGAAGGACAGACAGCAAAGTAATACTGCTGATTGTCTCTGAGTGGTATGGCTATGGGAACTCTGCATGTGTGCGTATCGAGGAGTACTGGGGACTGACCCCATGGGCACTTTACCACTGAGCTACATCTCTAGCCCCTTTTATTTTTTTATTTAAGTCAGGGTCTCAGTAATTTGCCTAGGTTGGACTTGAATTTGCAATCCTCCTGCAAGTGGCCTCCTGAGTAGCTGGGATTATAGGTGTGCGCTACCATACCTGGTTGGGAACACTTGTTTTCTTCAAACTTTGTTTTTCCCACAAACCTCAATACTATTTAAGGAGAGAGAATTGCATCCTCTAAGACAGGCACAATGTGGTTCTAGCTGCACAGAAGAGTATATGCTGGGCGATAAGCCATGGGTTCTAGTACAGGGCCCTCTACAAGCAGACATTGGTAGGCTGGAAGAGTCAGGATTCAGGGGTGTTTGCTGTGGGCTCTGAAGTGGAGAGTAGGAGACACTGGTCTTAGCCTGGATAAAACTCTAGGGAAATTCAAGTCTGAGGTTCAAGCAGGAAATGCATGAACTGCAAAGAACTGGGACCTGAGGGAACAAGCAGGAAGCTTCCTTGGTATGCTGGTTCAGAGCCAGGTGAGGAAGAAAACACCTCGCCTTAGCAGCCTCAAGCCTTGGGAGACCAAAAGAGTCTTCCCAAGTCCAGAAACATGATGGACTGTGGGGAGGATTCTGGAACCAAGAAGATCACAAGCCTTGGCAGCAGGAGCCTATGGCCAACTTGACCTGCTCAAGCACCTGCTGTCCTTGTCCTTCACTCTCAGCCTCTCAGCCTCTAACGCAGGGCCTGACCCACAGTGGGTACTCAAAAATAATACCTGGAAGTCAAGGACTGAGAAAATGATTCATTCTTGCAGAGAAACAATTGGAGGGGACACCCCAAGTGCAACAGAAGCAGGGAATTGTGTCGGTGAGAGCATGTGGCCCTGAGCTCTGGAAGCTCCCCACTATAGAAGCTTAATAAACACGGTCTTGAAACCTGGGGCAGGGAGTCATAGGCAGAGGAGGACTGAAGGGAGAGGAAAACTGTGGTTTTGTAGGCAGAAAAAAATTATTCAAGGACATTTTGCAGTTACAGGATAAAGAGAAACCAGTGAAGCTGGCAGAGGTGGTTTCAGGGCATCTAAGAAGCAGAAAGTAACAGAGCCTGAGGACAAAAGTGGACCAGAGGCTGTTGTGTCATTCACAGAGGGCAAAGACAGCTGGGGATGGAGGTGGGCAGGACTAGGGAGCCACACCCTTTGCCACCATTACTGGCTTATGGCTTGAGATGATGGCAGAACTCCCTGAAAATGATCAGGAAAAGAGGAGTGGAATAGGAGACACATCAACTCCAAATGAGCAGGGCTCAGGGTGTGTCTACACCCACAGTCATTGGTCTGAAGCAGGCCCCTGGGCTTAGTGATACCTACAGAGGCATCTGGCAGACATCTGTCATCAAATCAAGGATTACTTGAACTTTTGCCACATCCAAGACAGTTTTGCCATAACAAAACACAAGTGTTAATGGTAAGACACGGCAAAGAAGAAAGAGACAGTTATTTACTGGGAGGAAGAGATACAATGACCAGAAAGATTTGTGGGAAGATGCTCTGAGTGGTGGTGGGGGGCTGAGAGGAAAAGGAGATGCAAATACTCTGAACTAGAGCGAAGCATCAGGATGGTGGTGGGCAGCTAGCCTGGGGATTCCCAGGAGGTGTCTGGAATTGTCAGTCTATCATCCCTCCCAGTTACACCGTGCATCCTCCTAACTAAGTTTTGTCCTAAGCAAGGGAAATTTTTCTCTGTGTGGGGTGGGAATAAGAAGTTATTCAATGAAGGAGCATGGAAACACATCAGGACTTCCTTGCTATACTGTTCCTTGTGTGTTTGGGGCCAGAATATTTGTTCATTCATTCACCCATCTAACAAACATTTATTGAGCACCTTCTATATATCAACATATTGCAAGTACTAGAGCCACAAAGATGAAAACCCAGACAGGGTTCTAGGATCTAGGAGCTTTCAGAACCTGAGAAAAGACAGATACTAATCAAACAACGACAAAACAGCATGGAGGCTATTGTAATGCAAGTGGGCTGGGGGACAGGAAGGCATGGTGGGGGAAGTCACCCAGGGGTACTGGATATGGGGTGATGCTTGAATAATGAGGCCACTGTCCTCTCAATCTGTAGGATGGGCTGTCTCCATGCCACATGTTGACAGTGAGGGTCATCCGGATGAAAAATGTCCGGCGGGCTGATTTGGGTGAGTATCCTTCTCTCCCCCACTACTTCTCTGCTTGTGGGACTGTTCTGGATATGATCTAACTTACCAGGGATGGTAGTGTTTCCTGGCAGCTTCACTTCCCCGTCATCCTGGTTCTTACTGCATCCCAGGCCATGAGCTCCCAGGGAGTCCTCTGTCTCAGGAAGATACAAAGGCATCTGAGGGGGCAGGATACTTCCCGCACCCATTTTTTGGGGGGCTTTCCAGGAGACCAGCCCCTTCCCATGTTTCTCTAACCTTGTCTCATCCAGAGAGGAAGCTTGCCCCGCCCACCCTAGGAGAGAAAGCTCTGAGAACTGGAAGCGTCATGAAAGGGCCCAGATGTAAGCATCCAGAGACGTAGGAGCCTGGCAGGTGGAGAGGCTGCCCTGAGGGAGGGTCCTGTTTCCTGAGCATCTGCCAGGATGCCCATACACCATTTGATCCTCCCAACAACCTGAGTAGTAGTCCTGGGACACCATTTTGCCAGTGAGAATTAATGATAGCTTAAGGTAGAAATGGCATTTGATCCTAGGACTGGAGAGCTGGGGAGGAAATGAGAGGGAGGCTGGAGGCCCAGAAGCCAGGCAGAAGAAGTGATGAGGTGCCTGAGTTTTGCAGAAGAGATTGCATGACTCCCTGAGAGATCATATGCAGATGATGCTGGAGTACAGGTGGGAGAGGTTGAGAACCTGAAATGCAGGGATGTGGGTGGAGGAGGGAGGAGGGAGACACCTGCAGCCCCAGAGATAGCAAAGAGGATTCAGACTAAGCCTCTGGAGGGTGCAGTGTCAGCAGGAGCAGTTCCAGCTAGGCTCAAGCGTAGGCCTGAGTCTGCCAAGTGGCCTCCAGAAGGCCAGGGACCTCTCCTAGGGCTTCTTGGGGCTTTCCCAGCCCAGCAGTGGGTAATCTGAGGAGTCAGAAAGTGTCCCCTGGCCCAGGGCAATGGTCACGTCTTTTCCTTTGTTGCCCATGCCATGAAAGTGGATCATTCACTTACTTTACTCCTTCTTGGGCAGAGGTCACCCTCCCTCAGGGATAGCCCCATTTCCCACATACCCACAGCAGTGACTTGCCTTCCTGTGGCTTCTCCTGAGGTGAGTCTGTCCCAGCCCCTCCAGTCACCCTGGCTGCACAGTCTCATTCTGCATGCCTGCACCTGTGTGCTAGACCTTCCCATTCCCAGGGCCCTATCTTCTGTCTTATCCCAGTGGGGCAGGCTGTGATTTGGCTCTGCCAGCCTCCTCTTCCCCTTTTTCACACACTCCTCTGGCACACAGGCTTCCTTTGGGGGTCTTCTTTGGGATCCCCTTTGTTGTTTATATTATCCTAAGGAACTGGAGGGCATATGTGGCATCTGAGTACCCAGCCTAGGCCTGTCAGGTCTGTATTCTATGGTTGTTATGACTGAACCATGTCACTACTTTGCTCTGGTTAGGTTGGAGACTATCCCAGTGACTTTCAAGTCCTAAGTCACTCTCGCTTGAAATTGTTCCCTTCTAGCTTTCATGGAAAATGAACAGCTCTCTGATCTAGGCCTCTAACCATGTTTGCCATGTTTCCCAAGATTCCAGAAAGGGTAATGGCTGGGAATACACACAGCTTCAGAGATGATCCCCTCACCAAGAACTGGAAGAGCACTGGGACTGGGAGACAGCCAGGCCTAGAAACTTCCCCGCCATCAGGAGTTTTTATTCCTCTTGGGAAAGCAAATTAAAACCCAAATCAGCACTCCAAGGGCCATTGGGTAGATGTCTCCAAAGGTCCTGGGGAGACAGTGTTCTGAACGTCTGTGAAGATAACTGAGTCATCTCTGCCACCCACAAGCCAGGAAAGGAGTCAAGTCATTCATATGACCAAGCCCTCTATCACCCCACCTGAAGCAAGAATTGGAATCTGCCTTTGCCTGGGAAGTCCCCTGAAGTCCCTGAAATTCTCAGATTGCATCACCACTGCTTTACCATTCCTCTTGGCCAACACAATTGCCACTGTCCTTAGAGTCAGCTAATGGTGCCTGCCCAATTGTCACCCGCGCCCAGCTGATCTTCCCCTCCATCACCCTCTCCAGGATTACCTTATTCTCACAATGTACTCTCTTTATTTCTAACCATTGGTATATTTGGCAGGAGAAAAAACTTTCTGCAAAAGAACCAAAAAACAAATTAATGTTTAAAGGGTGGATATCTAATCAATCTATTCTCTTCAAGGAATATTTTTGTCTTAACTAGAGATTTAAGCCTTAGGCCAAAATACTGAGATTTTATTTAATGGATTTAAGGGGATAATTTTAGGCATGGACTCAACTGTAGGCATAAGAAGGAAGCAACTGGGCTGGGATGTAGCTCAGTGGCAAAGTGTCTGCCTTGCATTCGCAAAGCCCTGGGTTCGACCCCCAGTTCCAAAAAAGACAAAAAAAAAAAAAAAGAACCCCACCAAAAAAAAAAAAAAAAAAGATTAAAAAAAAGAAGAAGAAGAAGGAAGCAACTGTAGAGGGAGGAAGGCCCTCAACCCTCAAGTCATGAATGCTCAGCAGACCTTTGTAGGTACAGCACTGATCAGTCACTGCCTGCTGGCTCCCACCATACGGGAAGCAGACCTGAAGAGAATTTCCAGGCCCAAGAGGAAGGGCCAATGTCTAGGAAAAGCCAGAGGAGCCCGAGAGGGCCAAGCAGGTTCTTGGTGAGTCTCCCTATGGGCAGAGCAATTAGGCATGCTAATCTGCTTACCTGGATCTGCAGTGACTCAGCACAGAATTTTTCGGATACTGATACAACAGGAAGTTGAGCTGTTTCATTCATTCATTTATTCTAGCCTTATTCCAGAGGGTGGAGACACACAACCTCCCAGCCCTCATGGTACTCACAATGGGATGGAGACAAATGAGTGGATCTGCTGTCACAGCACCGTGTCGCGGTGCTCTGCCAAGAGAGGAACAGACTTGGGTGCTCAGGGAAGGTTTCCAGAGGAGGTTCCTTCTGAAACCTGAAGCAACTAGCAAGGAGAAGGCTGGGTGAAAGTAGAAGAGAAAGGTGTTCCAGGAAGAAGCAAGGTCATTTGCAAAGGCTGGAGGATGAGACAGAACCATACATTTAGATTCTTAAAAGTGATTGAGTTTGGCTGAAGCCTAGAGTATGAAAGTGCGTGTGTGCACAGACAGGTCTGGGGTGTTAGGGTGGAAATAAGAGGCTGAGGCTGGGGAAATGAACCAGGAAGTGGAGCTTCTTCCTGAGGACAAATAGGAGCCATTAAAAAAACTTAACTGGGGAATGGCTTGGTCATATTTAAAAAGCTTCTTCTGACTTCTCTTGGGAGAAAATATTAGCATAGGATATGTCTGGAAATAGGGAGCCCAGTTGGAAAGTGGCCCCAGAAACAATGGTGGCCTGCACCAAGACAGTGGCAGTGCAGATGAGGGGAAGGGTAGAGCTCGATAGATGTGAAGAGTTAAATGGATTAGCATGAGAGTTGAGGAGCACACTTGGTACCTGAGTTGATGATGAGAGGAACAGGTTGGCCATGGGGTGACTGGAATGATGAGATCGCCATTTTCTTCTGATTCTGTTGGGGGTTTGGTCATTCTTTCTGCCTGAATTAAATGATTATGATGACATCTAGAGGAGAGTATCATCTCACCTTTATTCAATTGAAGGATGGCTGTGAATTCCTATCCACTGACCAGTGAGCTCTCAAGATGAACCAGACATCAGGAGTAAATCAGAAGCCAGGAATGCTTGTGATACAAAATGTGGCTACTGACACTGATAAAGCTTTCAAATATAGTGATAATGGGGGACCAAATCAGCCCCGAGAGACAGCACCGATCCTGCTCTCATTAGCAATTAATAACAATATCATGAACTAGTTTGGATTAGTTCTACCACATAGGACTCCCATATTAACCAACTTTACCATCCAGAGGCTTCTGACACTGGAAACTGATTGGCTTTCACCATTTTCTATGTATCTGGTGTGTTCGCTGAGACTTACTTGTCAGATGAATGACAAAAGCAATCACAACACTCTTCCTGCCTTCTCCCAGACAAAATGGAGCAAGGGAAGCAGGTTGGCTGCTATTCTTTGATCTATCCCTTCGACTACTCCAACCAGAAGATATAGAAGGCCTTCTTCCATTTTGAAGGCCTATTGGAGCAAGTCAAAGCCTTTTTCTCTTCTCCAGGGCTATCTAGAGAATTTTAAAAAAATAGAGACTGAGAAGAAAAAAAAATTAATTGTCCACAAATAAGAAGGCTTCTTGGGTCATAAACCTTATGGTGGGAGACTAGGTTAAGTATGAAGAGCCTGACTAGGTGCAGTTGAGGTATTAAGCCATATGGAGATGGTGGTACTGGCTCCAAAATCCTGCTGAATAGCTCATTCTGACCAAGCCCACCAGGGCCCCTATTGGCCAACTTCTCATCCTACTTTTTCTCCCCAGGTCAGAGAAAAGCTCAACTCTACTTTGGTTTTCCTTGTGCTAAGGCAAAAAGGAAACCACACTTTGGGGAATTGATCTTCCAGATCTTTCCCTGACAGAGAGAAAATTGTGCAGCCATAACTTGTCTCAAACCAACAAACATTTGCTCAGAGACTAGGTGCTTCTGCCTCAGGCCATCTGTGTCCATGTGAATGGTCAATGGGACCTGGCCTCCTCTGTAAGACCTATATCCTGCAGTCTATGACCTTCTTTGGGTTCTAGGACAACTGTCTCTAGAGAGTTAGACCCTGAGTCAGGAGAGAACCTGAAGCTGAGAGGAGATCTTGCTCCAAAAGAGACTCGACTCCACACTCTCACCTCTCTGAACTGGGGTTGGTTTCTCTCCCTTCTCTCCCACCCTGGTTTTTGTTGGACAGTGAGCCAGACAGACTGCTTTGTAAGCCTCTGGCTGCCTACCGCCTCTCAGGAAAAGCTGAGGACGAGGACCATATCCAACTGCCCAAACCCAGAGTGGAATGAAACCTTCAACTTCCAGATCCAGACCCAAGTGAAGGTGAGACATGGAGGACTGACTGTTCCTTCTGCCCTGCCTGCATTTTTGTCCTATCTGTCCTCCTCTTTTCTTACATGTCCTTCTTAAGCATTTTTATTTCTACCTATTCTTGTCCTTCTCTACTCACCTATTAACTACTTCCTTCTGCCTATCTCACATTTCCCTCTCTCTTAGTCTATTTATCCTTCTACCTTTTTCTGGTCTCTCTTGTCTTTCTATCTAAATATTGCTGATACTAAGCGTCTCTCGCTCCGAAACAGATTGCCTTTCCAGGACCTTCCAGAACGTGCTTGAAGCAGGAGAATTCACAGAAGGAAAGAGCCATTCTATTAAATAGGTCAAGGTTAATCCAGTCAAAGCATTTTTCTCTCTCTTAAATCCTTTTCTGATTGCTTTACTATTTCTATTTCCTTTGGTGGGTATTCCTTTATTTATTGAGGTTTTTTTTTTATAGTGGTGGCCTTCAGATACGTGGTGACTATAAGTCAAGATCACATCTCCTGTAGAATCCTCCCTTGAGCTCTCCAAGTTGTGACAGCCTTAACAGAGAGTTCTAAAGACAAATTTGACCTCATCATAGAGGCATCAGCCCCAGTCTTGAGGTAGCTCCAAATTATTACTTGCATTTTTCAAAGATGCTTCTCCATTTCTAGTTCACAAGGAGTTCTTTTGGTTTTCAGGAAGATCTTTTTTTAATTTTTTTTTTTAGTTGTAGGTGGACACAATATCTTTATTTATTTCTATGTGGTGCTGAGGATCGAACTCAGTGCCTCACACATGCGAGGCAAGTACTCTATCACTGAGCTACAACCCCAGCCCTTCAGGAAGTTCTTTATAGTTAAATATTTTTCTAACATATATATTATTATGGTGAGGGAAGAGGATTTCCACATGGGATTAGTTTGCATCTTAAAATCAGAAGTTGGGCTTCCTTTGATTTAAGGAGTATGGGGCTGAGGTTGGTTCTGAACATGCTTATTTTTCTAATAATTGCAAGGTCAGCATATCTCATCTAGTTGAGAATCCCCAGAATCAACTTATGTCTACCAGATAGGAACATAACCTCAGTCCATATCTCACAGGATGCTTGGAACAAGGTCCTAGTCACTCAGAGACTAGTTAGGTCACCTGAGACCATTAAGTTCAGTTGCTTGACAGGGTAGCTGCTTGACTCTTAACCTGCTGCTTTGGGACCATCCATGGGCTGATGTGCCAAAGAATGGAGTTCATGAATCTCATTCCAACTCTGCCAATCATCAGAACCCCCTATAATCCTTGTTCCACCACTCCCCTAAGTGTTAAAATGTTACTTCCCTAGTATGACTTTTCTAGCACAGAAGGGGCTATCTTTGCTCCCAGGGCTCAATGCTTGGGAACATTCTCTATCTTGGCAGAGATCTTGCTTGCTCTGTTCCTTCCATCCTCCCCAAGAGAGCTGAAAGCCCTCCACCCTTCCCAGCTTTCTGCTAAGCTTGTACAAGGGCAAAATTATCAAGGAGTCAGAGCAGAAAAGTAGCAAGGCTTCAGAGTTGGAAAGCAGTTAATAGTTATTTTCCTTCCTTAATTCATTTTCTTCCAATGTCTCTCACACCTGAAAAGGGACCTGTGTGTGTCCTCCTTCCCTCATACCTACTTCCATGCTAGGAATGAGGTCAGGCTTCTTGTCCTGGGAGTGGGTCAATGCAACCAGGGTGACCAGACTTGCACCCTCTTTTTTCTAGAATGTGCTAGAGCTGAGCGTCTGTGATGAAGATACAGTGACACCAGATGATCATCTCTTGACAATTCTCTATGACCTTGCCAAGCTCTGCTTCCGCAAGAAAACCCATGTGAAGTTCCCACTCAACCCGGAGGTGGGTACATGGGCCCAGGACCTCAGCTCCTGCCTGGGGAAGCTATTTATTCCCATGATGCCATTGCATTGGCTCCACAGCCAAGTCAGGAGAAGAGGGCACTTTGGTTCAAATCTCAGCACTATCACTTACTAGTCATGTGGTTGTGTGAAAATCAGTTAACTCCTCTGTGTTTCTATTTCCTCATGTATAAAATTATTGTGCAGGGTTGTTGTAAGACTTCAACAAAAAAACATAATCAAGTCATCCAGCAGTCAGTGTTTATGTTACAAAATGAAGATATAAGTGTTTGTTTCCCTCTACCTTTTTCTTGCATTAGAAACCTCTTTCTGGGATGCCAAAGGGAAAAGAGTACAGGTGAGGGAGAGTAAAGGAGGACAAATCTGCAAATCAGAGAAGGTCAGAGCTGGAGAGGACCAGGTTGTTCTAGATTCAGTTACTCAGCAAATGCCTCAGTGCCTACTGAGGGCCAAGCTCTGTGTCAGTCCCTGGGTACGCATCAGGGAGCATGCATCCGTGTCCTCAGCCTGTGTGCATTCCAGTGGGGGAAACTGAGGTCCAATGAGGTCATGGCTTGCCTCAAGTTACACAAGAAGCATGAAGGAATAGGTGAGGGAAGGGCCTCCCTGTCAGAGTTGGGCTTTCCAGAGGTGCTATTTCAGGGTTCCCTCACCCCAGCCCCAAGCCTCCCTGTGAAGGCTGGAGAGCAGTGGGAGCTGGGGGTAGAGATGAAAAGGAGATGTTCTGGGGCATGGGGGTCCACTCCATACCCTGAGCCTCTCATGGGTTGTCATTCAAAGACTTGGTATCAGAGAAAGTTAGAAGGGTTAACAAGAGCTGGGAGCAGCTGCCCTCCCTCCATGGTGGCAGGGCAGTGTGTGGGGAGAACAGAGCAGGTCTGCAGGGGCCAGCAGAGGGTCCTGGCCAGCAGAGATGTGCAGACACAGTTCACAGCTGCCTTCCTCCCTCTCCCACCAGGGCATGGAAGAGCTGGAGGTGGAGTTCCTGCTGGCAGAGAGGTGAGTAGGCCCCTGTCCCCCATCCCAACCCACAGAATCAACCAAGGTCCTGACCTTCAAGTGTTTTTCAGAACTGGATCTGCCTTTTTGCCTCCTTCCCCCTTCCAGTCTCACTCCTGGCCCTCACCTGGGACTCCTCAGTGAGCTTCAGGTCCCTTGGTGCAGGTGCCTGGGCCCCACCCCTTCTCCAGTGTCACTGATGTCTGCATTGCTTGAAAGAGTCTCTGCCTCAATCCCCCACATTCCTGAGGGAGGCTTCTAGGACGAATTCCTGGATTCTTCCAGGACTTCAGGGACCATATACGAGGTCCTGAGAAAGGGGTCAGGACCAAGGGGTCTCCTCCTTGACCCAGACTATTAGAACAAACACCCCCAAACCCTGGCCTAAAGTTAAGGCTGTCCCCCTTGGAGCCAACCTTGGAACCAAGTCAGACAGGAGGCTCAGGTCTGACATGTAGGATTGTGTCTAGTCATTTTCAATTAGGGAAATGACCCAGGACCCTGGAGGTATGTCCTTGCTGAGGACATACAGGGCTGGAGTTTAGGAAGGAGAAGAGGACAAAGGAAAAGAGGAAGGTAGAGAGCAGGGGCCATAGCCCAGAGAGGACAAAGCCCCAACCCAGGAGAACAGTGTTCCTTGTGATGGTATAACCCACTCCTGCCCTCTCCTGACCCTGGGTGGCCCGATCCTTTATTCTTGTGATCAGCCTGAGGACAAAAAGAGGATGAGAGAGATGAGATGGGACAAGAGGGCTTGTCAAGTCCCCCTCTCAAAGAATCCTCTGCCTAGGGGACCTTGGAACTGAGGGACTTTATTTCCCATCAACAGATGACTGCCAAATTAAAATTAGCTTTATTTCACACTGAAGAAAATCTAATCTTTCTCCTCCAGTTCTTGATGTGACAGGACTTTTTGGGGTAGGAATCTTTGGCTGAACTGAAAGGTGACTTTCAAAATGAAATATGTCATGACTGGTGATATGAGTTGGTCTGATGACACAGTCATCTGGTTCTTCCCATATCTTGTGTGGAGAGTGAGTCGGTAACTGTTGGAAGTGTGGGCTGGCTGCAAAATAAAAGCTAGAAAACTAATATATTAAAAAATAAAGACAGGAGCTGGGGTTGTGGCTCAGTGGTAGAGTGCTTGCCCAGCATGCATGAGGCACTAGGTTCAGTCCCCAGCACCACATAAACAAATTAGCAAAATAAAGGTATTGTGTCCATCTACAACTAAAAAAATTTTTTAAAAAGATAAAGACAAAAGGCAAGAATATATATATATATATATATATATATATATATATATATATTCCCCCCCCCCAAAGCAGAGGTGTAATGGATTGAGCAGACTAGATAGGTCTGACTCTAACAAAGAAAAAAATCATGCTTGCTTTATTTATAGTGGTACAGACCAAAAGGGATGAATAGAGAGTTCCTTCAGGGGGAACAGGATAAGAGTGGGGATAAACAGGTTGTTTGTGCTTGGCAGGTTACACCCTCTGGACAGCATGCATGATCTGGGCTTTCTCAAACCAGGGATTTCACCCAGGAGTTCCCAGAAAAGCAGCTTCTCCACCTTAATGGCTCAAACAATTTGTTGGCTTCATATATGGCTTTCAAAAATTTGGGGCTTAGTTTTGCCAAGGAAGGTTGTGGACTCCAATAGGCTAATTGCGGCCTTGGAGGCTTATATTATCAATTTCATAAAACAAGGACATTTAATATTCACTAAGCTTCTGGCTGGCTGGGTCAGCCCCTGTCTGTTAAATGCCTACATTAAAGCACAAAATGGAGAATAATTTTCGTTACCAAAATTGTTTCCATCTGCTCTAGTTGGTAGCTGCAACCATATCTTGCAAACTATAAATCCTATAGCTCCACGCAGTCACATCTGGTTAGACATAAAGAACAGTTCTTTCTAACCTATAAATCTGTTATTTTTTCCTGGACAGTCTATGTAAAATATCTGCCAGTTTCCTCCCTGACATCCCATAGATCTAAGGTTTCTTAAATCAATATTTTGAATGAGAACAAGGAGGCTCTGCTATTGATCCTACTTATATTCTTGTCAGCTTCATGAGAAATCAGTCAGGAAGGAAATGACCAGGTGTTCTCATTTTGTTTTTCAGCCTTTCTCCACCTGAGACCCTCATCACCAATGGCGTGCTGGTGGTAATTGTCCTTCAGAGTTCCTATAGCTCTAGAGGCCATATCTGACTCCTGCTCTTGGGATAGAGGACTGAGGCCAGCTTTGGTTTTTGTCCCATCCTGAGCCCTGGAGGGATCAGACTAAATGAGCCAGCCAAATGGGGTACAGGGAGGAATGAGATTTGTTTGGGCTCTTGCATACAGAGAGGAGTAACTAGGGTACTGACCCTTCCTCTTACATCACAAAGAGATAACCCTAATTGGGATCTCCCCCAAAAAGAGCCCAGTAAAGGCAGCCTCCTCCCAGATTCATTCCTGTCCTTTCCCCCACCATCCCCAAACCTCTGCAAGTATATTCTCAATATCAATTTTTTTTTCATAATTTGGCTGCTTGTACAAATATTTTAATTAAATGTATCCAATACCCCCAGGGTTCAAGGAGACTTCTCCCTCAAACAGGAGAGTCTTTGGGAATTTTTGATAAAAAGAATTCAACCTGTCTCTACCTCTTATAAAAGCTGATTCATTTGAAGTTCTCACTTTCAAAGCCCAGAGCTAAATGTTGCCTCCGATGAGACACTGACCTGCCCCTCAGAACATGGCCCTAGTAAACTGTGACCAAGCATCCTTGAGTTTATAGGACAACTTCATTTCAAATATCCTCAGTGAGAAGGCTTGACATGACTGGGTTCAAAAATGTGGGTAGCCATCTAGTTGCAGTGGCACATGCCTGTGATTGTAGCAACTCAGGAGTCTGAGACAGGAGGATGGCAAGTTCCAGGCCAGCCTCAGCAACTAAGCAAGATTCTACTTCAAAATAAAAAATGAAGATTGATGGGGATATGGCTCAGGACCTCCAAAAAAAAAAAAAAATGTGGTCAGTACACCCAGCATTCCCAGTGTCAGCCTGAGGTCAACCAATACAACTTTTATCCTCTTGGTCTTTATCTCCTTCTTTCTACCTGAGAGAGCCAGGAGGTGGCTTATTCTGAGAGTCCCAGTGACTTTCTTTGCTTTGTTTCAGTCTCGACAAGTCTCCTGCCTGGAGGTTCATGCAGAATCTAGGAGGAGGAGGAAGAGTAAGAAAAGTGAGTGCTTCAGTGCCCTGTGTGCTGGGGAGAGGAGAAGGGCAGCTTTTAAGCCTGGTCAATGACAACTGGACTGGTCTAGGGTTCTCCTGAGTTTGAGCCAGTTTGGCCAACACTCCTCGAAATCATTGCAACCTCACCCTCAAAGCCATGAACCTCTACCTTCCGCTGCCTGCTTTTAAAGGGTGCCCCCATCATCCTGGGAGTCCCAGACCTGCCAAATATCCTGGGCCTGAGTCACAGTGCTGCCCTCTGTGTCTAGGTCTGGCACAGTGACCAGCCATTGACAACTCTCAGGACTTTTCTAGCTGTACCGCCTCCTTTAGTCAATTCACAGTTCACAGCATCTTATAGCTGCAAGGGATCTGAGGGATCCATCAGTATAGTTCTCCATCCCACCCCCAACCTGCCCTTGCAAGTCTTCCATCCTGTCTCAGAAGACAGCAGCCCACAGATGGGGAGAGAGAGAGAGAGAGAGAGAGAGAGAGAGAGAGAGAGAGAGAGAGATGCATGGGGTGGGTAGTGGTAGTGAGCCTCCACACCCAAACTGACAGTGTGATAAGGGCCTGCATTCTCAGCAGTGGGCCGGTAACACTAGGAGATCTTCTGGCAAAGCAGAAACAAAGTGAACTAGTCCTGAGGATTCTCTCCACACTTCGAAGGGTTTTCTGGAGGCCACATTAGACATCATCACTCATGAGCCTTGTTAAAATGCAATTCCAGCTCCTGCCCCACCAACAGAATGGAGCATTCCAGATAATGCCCCACAGGCATTATAACCAGTTTCCTGGGCATCTCTATAGGCTTTTGGATGGGTCAAGAGGAGGGTGATAGGAAGCTTCCCACATAAGGGTCTCACCTCTGTCCTCTCTCCTGGTGAAAGGCCTCCTGGTGAAGGTGACGGAATCCTTCGAGAACACCCAGCGCATTTCGTCCTGCCAGGAGCCCACCTGCCCAAACCCTGCCTGTTTTCACTACCCCAAGTATTTCCAGCCCCAGCTGCACGTGGAGGTGCCCAAGAGTCACTGGAATTGTGGGGTATAAGGCAGCCCCAATGGGGGTGAGGGAGGAGCCTGGGGCAGGTAGGGGCTGCCAGAGGAGCCCCTGCCTGCCTCACAGAGCCTGTCCATGCTTCCAGCTTTGCTGCTGCTGCACACACAAGAATGGTCCTGTCTGCCAGCCCCTTGATTGCTTTTCTGACGGCCAGGCGGTGACCCTGCCTTTGGTGAGGGCTTAGGTCTGGGAAGGAGCCCCTGGATGGCTCAGCCTGGAGCTCCTGTGGCAGGGAAATGGAGAGAACCTAGGGCACAGTTGGGGAAGGTGGCGTGTGGGGTCTCAGGCAGGACAGAGGGGTCTTATGGAGTGTTGATAAGCTACAGTGGGAGCCAGAGAACGTGTGAAGTTGGTGGGGAGGATCATGTCCAAAAGAGGGGAGTGGGGACAGAGCATGCACCTGTGTGTACCTGTGTGTATGTGCATTCATGTCACATGCATGCGGGCTGAGTCAAATCAAGGGATGGGCAATGTGAGGCTCCACCTCTTTGGCTGGGATCACTGGGCTCCGCATCATCATCCCTGACAAGCTTTTCATCTTTTGCTCCTCAGGGTGAGAACTATGAATTACACATGAAGTCCACACCTTGGTAGAGTACCCTCTTTCTGTTCTTCCCTCTAACCTATTCATAATAGTAGGTATAGGATGCTATTTCATTTGCATTTCCCTGAAAGCTAATGATATTGAACATCTTTTATGGGTTTATTGTCTCTTCTTTGGGGACCCATCTATTCTAATCTTTTATCTACTTTTTAGGGGGACTATTTGTCTTGTTATTGTTAAGTTGTTAAAGTTCTTTGTATATTCTGGGGTTATCTTTTCATATTCTTTTTTTCTTTTGTGGTAATGAAGATTGAACCCAGGGCTTTGTATATGCTAGGTAAGCACTCTACTACTATATCCCTATATAGTATATGAGCTACATCCCTAGCCACCACCCACCCCCGATACCTTTTAATTTTTATTTTGAGAAAGAGTCTCACTGAGTTGCCAAGGATAACCTTGAACTTGTAATCCTCCTGTCTCAGCCTCCTGAGTAGCTGGGATTACAGGCATACACCATCATACCTAACTCTTTTCACAATCTTGATGATGTCTTTGAAAAACAATGTTGTTAATTTTTTTAAGCATAGATTTTTTAAAAACCTTTATTTTATTTATTATTTTTTATGTGGTCCTGAGGATCGAACCCAGTGCCTCATGCATGCTAGGCAAGCACCTCTGAGCCACAACCCCAGCCCAATGTTGTGAATTTTGATGAAGTCATTTATTTTCTCTTTTGTTTCTTGTGTCTTTGATGTCATATATAAGAATTGTTACCTAATCAAGGTCACAAGGATTTACTTCTGTTTTCTTTTAAGACTTTTAAGACTTTCATAGTTTTAGTTCTCATATCTAGGTCTATGCTCTATTTTTAGTTAATTTTTGAATATAGAGTGAGAGAGTCCAATTCCATTCTTTTGTATGCAGGTATCCAGTTGTCCAAGAACCATTTGTTGAAAATATTATCTTTCCCCCACTGAATTGCCTTGTCAACCTTGTCGAAAATCAAGTGACCAGCTGGTCACAGTAGTACATGCCTATAATCCCAGCTACTCAGGAGGCTGAAACAAAAGCGTCACAAATTCAAGGCCAGGCTGGGCAACTTAGCAAGATCCTGTCTCAAAAATAAAAATAAAAGGGGGCTAGGGGTATAGCTCAGCAGTAGAGCACTTACCTAGTGTATGCAAAGCCCTGATTTTAAACCCTAGCACTGCAAGAAAATAAAAATTAAAAATTAAAAAAGCAACTGACCATAATTTTTATCTATAGTTTGATTAGCTATTTGTTCTTGCACAAGTTATTTGACCTCCCTAAGTTTTCTTCACCTGTAAATCTGATCACTTTGTGTATCCCATGAAATAGGACATGTGAAGTATTCTGTAATCTATCTGCTGAGTGGGATGCTAGAAAATATCAACCAATGTTATTGTTGCTATTATCATCATTAGATTCTCAGTATTCCTTGTGAGCCCAGTGAAAGAGTTATTTTCTTGAAGCTGTGTCTGCAGGCTATGCTAGGAGATGTGATCAGAGGGTTCTCAAGCCCTGGCTTCAAGGAAATGTGGCTTTGTTAGAGAAAGAACCTTATTTGTTTTGGATTGTAAACTGCCAAAGTCCATTCACCTTGAGTCCATGGGACATTAGTCCTCAGGGGGTGAAGGTGGGCAAAGGGAGGATGCTTCTGGTGAGGGTGAAGGCCTAGAAGTTAGACTGTTTGAGCCTCTGAGAGCCTGATGGGCCCTTTCCAGCAGGTAGCTTAAGTTGAGCTTGGACAGGTCAGGTTGGGTCTTGGATGCCAGAACAAGGGCCTGGACTTGTTCTGGGCAGGGATGTCACTGACACAGAGGGCAAGCGTTGAGCATGTCATGGCAGCTCCTGCCCCACCTGCCTGGAGGACCTGCGGGAAAGACCTGCTGAGGTCAGGGATGTGAAGAGTTTTTGTCAGCTACACAAAGGCACAGGAAAATTACACGTCAGTGAGCAGGAAAGGCTTAGTGAAGAATGTGAGCTCTGTAGGAAGAGGGAGCTTGTTTATGGAGCTCAGACTCCACGCTAGAGAGCCTTGTCCAGGGGTATTTGCCAAAAGGATCTCAGGGCCCCCTGTCACCCATGTATGGTCTTGGACTGTAGAAGGCACCTGAAAGAAGCCTTTCTGAACTTTCCAGACCCTGCTGATGAGTTAGAGTGTTCAGAGTTCCTAATACAAGTACCAACATTTATCTTTTGCCAAGTATCAGCTCAAAGCATGCCAGCTAAGGTGTTACATTTGTTAGCTCATTAAATGCTAAAGGCAGTGCTGGGAGTTAAGCCCCCATATAGGTTGTGGGGGCAAGGTCACAAAAGTGGTAGATGACAGGCTGGGCTTCAAGCCTGTGTCCACTGACCCTAAAGTCCCTTGAAGATAAGGCTACAGGCCCACTCAGCCAGGATCCTCTCTCCCTCAGCTCTGACACACTGGATGTGCGGCTGGGCTTCAGCCTGTGCCAGGAAGAGTTGGAGTTTCTGCAAAAGCGGAAGGTGGTTGTGGCCGAGGCACTGAAGCAGGTGCTGCAGCTAGAGGAGGACCTGCTGGAGGACGAGGTGGGTAAGCAGAGGCTGCTTAGCACTCCAGGCTAAGCCGGTCCTTCCAACCTCATATCCTACCAGCCATCCCAGCTCTTCCCTGCTCCAGGATGGCTAAGACACTGCTTTCCCTTCACCATTGTCCTCATGGCTGAGGTCTGGTGCCTAGAGAGTGCATGCTGGATGTACGTCAGTTGTATGTTCACTTGGGGAGGGGAGGGCAGACTAGAGAGAGAAGGAAGGGGCTCCAGCGGCTCTGCTCCTCCCATGCACTGGATCCTGAAGTGGCAGAAGTGTGCCTTACTAACTCAACCACAAAATGACTTCCTTGCCCCAGCCAGGAAACATTTAAAGCTCCACCACCTTATGTATGCCATATCCCCCATCCAAAGGCCGTGGGTGCTTGTCCTTCAGTTCTCTCTCCTCTCAAATGTGCACATGTAGACACCTCCCAGAAATAATAGCTGTAGCAAGCTGGAAACAAGCACCGTTACTCCCAGGGCCAGTCGCTTCCTACCATGGAGGCGGACAGTAGTGCCTTTTTGTCAGAGTCCTCTGTCACCTCCCCTGTGTGGACTGGGGCTCACACTGTCCTGGGCAGCTGGTTAGTACTCCAAAATGCCTGACTTCTGAGTCTGACCATGATGTACATGGAGACCACATGGGGCCCAGGGAGGGCTTGTGATTGGGCTTCAGGTGACTGAAGGGTTTTTCAGTCCCCTCCCAAATGAAAACAGAGATTGGGTTCAGAGCCCCTTCTTCATCCCACTCTTAGGGAAAACACACCAAAGGCATCTCAAAGCCAGGTCAAACCACAAGTGGCCACCCTGCTGCTTCTGACATTAGAAATGTATTCCTCTTGCTCTTATAAACACTGTATAGACTGAACATGTGCCATGTACCAAGCCAGGGCCTGCTGCCCTAAGATCATATCCACCTTCAAAAGATCTCAATTTGTCACCATTAAGGAATCATACTCACCAACCTGGACCCCAGTTTTATCATCTGTTAACTGAAGGCTGGGTTAAGAGTGCTAAGGCCTCTTCCAGACGCCGCTTTCTATGATTTAGGTTTCAGAGCCTGTACTGGCATCACTGGGTTTGGAACTAAGTTCTAATTCTAGACCTACTGTGTGGCCCACCTGGGAAAGGCAGTTTTCAGGCCTCTCACGGCTATCCCAGCCCTGCTTTGGCTTTCTGCCCCCAGACCCCTCCTCCACCATTCTTTCAAGCTGCCATCTGTCATTCCAACTCCTCTCCCACCAGCTTTGTCCCTGGAGCCCTCCCCAGCTGTCTGCCTCTATGCCCCCAGGTACCGGTGATAGCCATCATGGCCACTGGGGGTGGAGCCAGATCCATGACCTCCATGTATGGCCACCTGCTGGGACTGCAGAAGCTGAACCTCCTGAACTGTGCCACTTACATCACCGGCCTGTCTGGGGCCACCTGGTAAGGTGCTGGGAGCCACTGTCTAGTGGACCCCAGAGCAAGCAGCAAACAGGCTGGCCTGGGATTTCTGGTGAAGTTCTACCCAGTCCCAACCCAAGTAAAAGTGACTCAAGACACCAGGGACTCTCTGCCTCCTGCAGTTGTGTGACTTCGGGCATGCAGATTAACTCCCCAGAGGCTCAATTTCTGTATCTGTAAAGTGGGGATAACAATAGCACATGGCTGTGGTGAGAGGCTCTCCCAGTACTAAGTACACAGAGCCACTGTACGTGTTGGCCATTACTGGCAGTTCTGTTTTCTGGGGGCTGTGGCAGGAGCCCAGGAACATAGGAACCAAGGATGAGTGAATCCCTGGTACCACTCTTTTCCTGATGGGAGACTATGCCAAGTCTCCTAGGGTGAGTGGAGATGGCCCTGCTGCTATGGCTTCCTACCCTCCAGGCCCTCTCAGCCCACTCCAGTTCATTCCTCTGCCCTGTTTAGAGGACAGGGCAGGGCCCTGCCACAGACTCCCACCTCCCCATCTCTGCTGGAGAGTAAGGTGACTGAGCACTGGGCTCCCCAGTAGGAGGCAGGTCAGGCTGACTAACTTAGATACACTGTGCCTGGGACACACAGAACTGTCAGGAACCCACAACAATATGTTGTTATTATTATTATTTTTTAATAAGAAGGAAAATATGAGCTTCTAGGTTAAATAAAATGTTTTAGTAAGTAACATTAATATATTTGTCTTTAAACAACACAGTCATAACATTTGCTTTTTAAGTATTTTTTTATAGTGGGCCCACCAAAGTCATTATGTGGCCCTGGTTCAGGATGGCCCTATTCAGGGGACTGTGACTACCCAAGGCTTCTCCGCCAGGGCTGCATCTTATTTTGTGGGTGACCGGGGAACTTGGGAACCCATGAGATCCCATTTTGTGCCTTTTATCCTGGAGGAGCTCCAGGTAACTCTCATGTGAGCAAGTGGATGTGAACTGGCCCTGAAAAAATCAAGGACTCTCCTGGCATTGGATCCTCTCATCAGGGGCTCAAGGCTTCAACCCAGTTGGAATAAGAAGCATAGCTAATAGTTATCAATATTGGCTTATGTGCCAAGCACAGTGGTCCCTCAGTATCCCAGAAGGATTGGTTCCAGGACCCATCTCTCTAGAATTCCTCTACAGATTCCAGGAGGAACTAATGTTCAAGTCCCTTATAGAAAATGGCATAATATTTGCTTATAAACTACACAATCCTCTCTGTATTTTAAAAACAATCTCTAGATTGTTTATAAAGTACCTAATACAGTATAAATAGTTGTTATCTTATTTAGGGAATAATGACAATGGGGGGAAAGTCCATATAGGTTCAGTACAGAGGCATTTTCCCCCAAATATTTTTGATCCACAGTTTGTTAAGTCTGCAGATGAGGAACCTATGGATAAGGAGGACCAACCATAATTTTTCCAGCATTATTTTACAGCATGAGAAACAAAGCAATTTGCCTGAGGTCACTTGGCTAATAAATTGTAGAACCTAGAATTTGAACCCCATCCAGGGCCCACATTCTTAATCCCCATGTTAAACAGCTGCTCCTGACTAGTGAGCTAAAAAGATAACTTGCTTCCAGTAGGGTTAAGGGACACCTGTATGACCCTGGACTATTGTGGGACAGGCTGGTAATGGGGAAAACCTCAGGCCCAGCCAGGGTGAGGGTGGGAGGGTGGAAGATGTCCCAATGTAGGGAAACATGAGAAATATTCTTTTTAAAATGACCATTGGCGATGGCTTTCAGAAGCTTTTTGAAAGTATAAAAGTAACAAAGCAAACTTTACAGAGAGCAGAGTGATGTTTATCATTCTGGCCAACGTGGCCAACTTCTACCCCCCCGAAACAAGTTCTGTGAGGGAAGAGGACACCATTCACATATCCATGCAGCTACAGACAAGGTCCACCTCAAGCAGGAAAGTTCTCAGGTGCAGAATAAGCAGGGGCCCTTTCCTGTCCTGACATAGAAACACTGGATCAAGGCCAAGAGGGGCAGTCAGGGCCAGACCCAGACTACCTTAGTTTTGTTGCCCCCTAGGACCCACATATAGATTAAGAAGAAGGGGAACTACTTTAGCCAGAATCATCATTGTGGAAATGAATGCAGCAGGGCAGAAAGAACCTGGGATCTGGAATCAGCCAAACCTGCGTTCAAATGTTATTCCCAGCGCTTGCTTTGTGCCAGCCACTGTTCCAGTTTATGCTCTGTTAGCTCATACCATCTTCCCAAGAACTCTATGAGCTGGGAACAACTATCACAATTCTCCCCATTCCACAGCTAGGGGAACTGAGGTGGAAAGTAGTTAAGTAGCTTGTCTGAGATCACACAGCAGAATGGCAGGGCCTGGTTTTGAACCCAGAAAGGTTTGGGTCCAAATCCTCATCTCAACCAATATGCTATACCCAGCACACAGTAGGCATGGGGAGATAGGAGTAACGGTGATTATGAGTATTGATTGTTGCCCTCCCTCCCTCGAGCCCTCCCTTCACCAGGCCCCGACTCACCCCTTTCCTCCAGGCTCCTCTCCAGGCAGGTTTGGGATTCTCAGTGGCCTGCCCATTTCCCCTCCTGCCTGCATCCAGGGTTGATCAGACCAGGGCCAGGTCAGCTCTCTCAGCCATTCCTGTCTCTCTCCAGGACAATGGCTACTTTGTACCGTGACCCTGAGTGGTCCTCCAAAAACCTGGAGCCTGCTGTCTTCGAAGCCCGGAGACATGCAGTCAAAGACAAGATGCCTTCCCTGTTCCCAGACCAGCTCTGCAGATTCCAGGAGGAACTCCGGCAGCGCAGCCAGGAAGGCTACAGGGTCACTTTTACAGACTTCTGGGGCCTGCTGATTGAGGCCTGTCTTGGGGACGAGGTAGGCATTCAGCTTCCACTGTGCCCCACCCTGCCCTGGCGAATGTGCAGTTCTCTTTCTTCATCAGGGGGTCTGGACTTCCACCTCTGCTCTGGTTAGGTCAGACCTGCAGGTTTGTTCCTAGAATATAAGAAACACGAAGTGCTGAAAAGCATGTTGGAAGGTGGTGGGATCCTCATCTCACATCCCCTTTAGAGAATGATTGAGACCCTTGTGTTGGGAACAGGTCAGGTGCACCCTACATGGAAGCAACATGAACTTTTAAAGCCACACCAAGATACCTGAGGCAGAAAATGGGGAGGGAGCTGGGCAGGACTAGAGAGATGCCAACCATGATGGAAGTTTGACTCTAAGTGGAGGAGAGAGGGGGAAAGGTCAAATGGAAACATCCCAGACTTCCAGGTGGTCTAGAAATGTTCAACAAATCCTGTAGAAGACCTTTTAGTCAAAGTTGGCTGTGTGTGGTATCCTGTGTTTCTGAGAATGGGCCTGCCTCAATATCCCTACTGCATTTGGTCAGAGGAAGCACGGTCAGTACAGACTCTGCCTTGGATTTCCAAGTGCAGCAACTGGAGCCCTTCACCAATAACACTGTCAGCAGTTGGAAGTTTGCAGGTCTCATTTTCACGGCCACCACATAGGGAAGACCTAATCAGGTTGCTTTCTGCTCTGGGATACAATGATCTGAGCAATACATGCTCAACAATAGAACTAGCTTGGGACGCAACTGCTGCAAGAATCATGTGAGAAATGGTAGAGCAGGCAGATCCCCAGGGGATGTTGTGATCCTGGCCTTCAGGGTGAGCTCCACTCATACTTGGACGCTTCATGCTGCACTGACCACAGGGAGGAACCACCTTTGGTCTGTTGATTGGACCTAAGGCAGAGCTTCCCACTTAACCTCTGTCCAGGACCTCAGCTCTTAATTCCACCTTAATTAAGAATTCAATTATTAATAAATCTGAATTTTCCAGAGGGAGGAGAAGCAGCCAATAATTTTCTAATAGGTCCCCTCTGCTAGAAAATCAACTGAGGACGACTTGATTTAACCAACTGAGGATGACTTGACATTCATCCTCAATATTTATTCATTCCTTCATTCATTCTTTCAACTAAATCATTACCTCTTGCATGCCAGGAACTGGGTTGGCCCCTAGGGATTCAGAAAGGAATCAGACATGGCTTTCAACTCATGGCTTTTGATGGATCCCACCCTGGCTCCTTTGAAAAAAACTCCTCATGTAACCCGACCTCCTGATGGAACAGAGCAGGCAGAAACTAAGGGCATTGACTTTCAGATTCTGGCAAGTTGGGGTTGCATGTGACCCTACTCTGCACTATTCCTTACAGAGGATTACATCACTAACTGGTTAATATTTTAACACAATATTTTAAGTTAATAACCTGTGAGATGAGGAGGAGAGCACCAAAGTTTTCAAGCCCAGAAATCTATGCATTTTGAGGGATCAGTGTAGAGAAAAGGCGTGGTCCTCCAGAAAGCAAGGCTAGAATCGCTGTTAGGGAGCCTCTGTTCTTCTACTCTGGCCAAGGCAAGAGCCCCTTTCCCTCCAGCCCTTTTGACAATGAGAGTGGACTAGGATCTTCCAGGAGTCTGCAGGACAGTCAGCTCTGTGACACCCAGATCTATGTACCCAGTTGTGACAGGTACTCTGTTTTCCTTCAAAGGAGGCCCAAGAGTCATTTGGCCTCCCATGCATTTGCTATCCTAGGGATGGTCATGAAGCAGGCTGCTGCTTGGCTTGGGTTCAGAACCTGGGCCTCTAGGACCTCAGCTCTGCCTCGTCTGCACTGATTGATTCACTCTGGGAGGTGGCCGATGACCAGGGCTGATCTGCAGGACTTGCCACTCTGATTAACACAGCAAAACACTCTGCAGACTTTAACATGCTTTGGCCACCATGTATTGCCCAGATTTCCAAGATTTCAGTTTAGGGGCAAAAATCAAAGAAAAGAAACTTTTTTTTTATCCCAAATCTTATGAGGGAGCCCAACATGCCAAGCTGACTAAACAAAGACCCTGGAGGTTTTCATGTTCTAGGGAGGCAGAAGATAGTAGGAATGAAAAGGGACAGTGGTGGCCTCTCTCGCCCTTACTTCATCATCCTCTGAGCCCTGAGACTACAGGAGGACCCCTGGGGCTCTGAGGGTCCTAAGCTGCAGATTTGGCTCCTCCCCTGTCTGCAGTCTGGGCTGGTGGATAGCCCAAGGAGGTGAGATACGTTCTCAGGTAGATGTGAGCCAAGTTTGAGCCAGTGATGTGTTGCAGGCCTGTAATCCCAGCAATTTGGGAGGCTGAGGCAGGAGGATCACAAGTTTGAGACCAGCCTCACAACTTAGAGAGACCCTAACTCAAAATAAAAAATAAAAAGATCAGGGTATAGCTCAGCGGTAAAGCATGCCTGAATTCAGTCCCCAGGACAAACAAATACACAAAACAAAACAAACAGGTTTAATTGGTGTCAGTTGCAGCTTACACAGCAGCCTGATGGACTTGGGATCCAGGAAAGGACTGCTGAGTGATTTCTAATCCAAGGGCAAGTGGGGTGGGGGTTGCATGTCTGCTGCTTCTCCTTAACTCTTTCATTTCCCCATAGAGAAATGAATGCAAACTGTCAGAGCAGCGTGCTGCTTTGTGCCAGGGCCAGAATCCCCTGCCTATCTACCTCACCATCAATGTCAAGGATGATGTAAGCAACCAGGATTTCAGAGGTAACACTGGTGGCTAGTGATCTAGGAGAGGGTAACTTCTTGATTGGCAAAGGCACCCAGAACCCCCAAGGTCCACCCCCTAACCTCACACATACTTTGCCAATCCACATCAAAAAATTGTGCCCACAGTTGAAGAAATCAACTTAGTTCCCCCATTCTGCCCTGCCCCTTGAGTGGGACTGGTGGGCAGAGTCCCTTAGCTTACTGGGTGCATTTGATGGGACAGAGGGAAATATAAGTAAGGAGAAGGGAAGGAGTCCTAGACATTTCTTAAGCTTCCTAGAGGGAAGGGCCATGGAGACCTACTCTGCAGTAGGGTCACTTTGGGTCCTCTTTTATCTGTCTTTGAGCAACAATAGAGAGCCAGGTGTGGTGGTATCTGCCTTTATTCCCAGCTACTCTGGAGGCTGAAGCAGGAGGATCATAAAGTGAAGTCCAGTCTGGACAACTTAATGAGACTGTCTCAAAACAAAATTTTAAAAAGGGCTAGGGATGTGGCTGAGTGGTAGAATGCTCCTGGATTCAATCCCCATTGCGGGAGTTGGGGGTGGGGGGAGCAAAAGAACCAGGCCAGCAGTTTGCAAAGCTTTGACTAGTCTGCATAGGCCGGTCGCGGGCGCCCCCGTGTGCTCCATAGGAGAACTGCAGCCTCCTAGTTGGAGGAACCTAAGGGCCCAGAAGCCAAGGCTGGTTGGCATGTGGGAGGGCTGGGCTGAGTGGGCGTGGCTCCGTGATCTGAAACTGACTCTTTCCCATGCCGCTTCCTGTGCAGAATGGTTCGAGTTCTCCCCCTACGAGGTGGGCCTGCAGAAGTACGGGGCCTTCATCCCCACAGAGCTCTTCGGCTCAGAGTTCTTTATGGGGCGGCTGATGAAGAGGATCCCTGAGTCGCGGATGTGCTACATGCTAGGTGACTCCTGGCTGGGGGACTCCCCTGAGCATGCACTCCTAGCTGGGCAGGCCCTGGTTTTGAACAGAGGAATGACAGAAAGGATCTTGCCCCAGATCTGGCCTGGGTAGTCCTTGGTTAGCCCTTGAGCACGTGGCCTTCCTGGCATTTGCTGACATTGCCTTATCCCAGGAGGGGTTCAGAAACCCCCACACCAACCTCTCAGACTGCCTGATCTGCCCACAGTCCTTTAAGCCCAGAAAGACTGACAGTGGTCCAACTCAAGTCCCATCTCTTTTTGTGAAGCCCATCCCAAAGCCCCCAGCCCACAGTTGCCTCTTCTTCCCCTAAATATCTATGTTATTGGTTATGTGGTTCAAAAACCTGAAGTTAAAACCCTTAGAACTGACCTCTGGTTCTTCATTTATTGACTGTGTGAAGTGGGCTAAATTATCTAACCTCTCTGAACCTCAGTTTTCTTATCTGTGAATTGGTTTAAGAGTAAAACCTATCTAGCCAGGCATGGTGGCTGATGCCTAGAATCTTAGCTACTTGGGAGGCTGAGGCAGGAAGCTTTCAGGGTAGAGGCCAGTCTCCGCAGCTTTTTGAAACCCAATTTCAAAATGAAATAAAAAGGGTCAGGATATAGCTTAGTGGTAGAGTGCTTGCCTAGCATTTGCAAGGCCCTGGGTTCAATCTTTAGTACTTGAAAAATAAAAAAATAAAAATCAAAGTAAAAACCTACCTTGTAGAAGATCCCAATGGATCAATACATATGAGAAATTTAAAACAAGTTTTATTAATATTACATCTGTTAAATAATAAGAAATAGCATTACATATGTCAAGTGCTCATCATATCCTAAATGCTTTAGCTGTGTGAACTGATCCAAGGGGTGGACCTGGACTTGAAGCTGCACTTGTCAGTGTCTAGCCCCTGCTGGGGGTGTGCCCTGTACACCTTCCCAGATGCTACCTACACTGAGGGGAGGGAAAAGAGCTGAGGGCTGGCACCATCAGTCACCAGGGCAGAAGGAAATCAAAGTCTGTCCCACCCACTGAGCAGTCTGGCCTGAGGAGGAATCAAGGCCAAGGCAGAACCATCAGGTCTATGAGGGCTCCTGGAGAGAACTGTTCACGGCTGCTCTGCTTCCCTAGGTTTGTGGAGCAGCATCTTCTCCCTGAACCTGCTCGATGCCTGGAATCTGTCCCACACCTCGGAGGAGTTTTTCCACAGGTGGACGAGGAAGAAGGTGCATGACATTGGTGGGTGACCCACTGGCTTCCCCTTATGATTAGGTGTGTGTGGGTGGGATATGGACCATGAACGGAGGACCCTGTGCCTGCCACATGTTCCCACATTGTATCTATGGCCCAGAGAAGGTAGCTGGGTTGGAATGTCACCCTCCAGGCAGGATGATTATAGGTGGAACCTCTACCAAGGCCCAGGAGGATACCTCCAGTGCCCAGGAGAGCTGATGAGAGTAGGGATCTGTGCACAGTTAAAGGTCGTTCTTGTGGACTCTGTCCTCTCTGGTACCTCCTTATTGAAGGCCCACCCTCCCCTCTCCACTACCTGTCCCTGTTCCATGCCACTCAGCTGGGTCCTTCTGGTTGTGGGGCCAGAGTCTTGAGAGCTGGGCAAGGAAGGTCACTTATAGTGACTCACCCCAGGCCCAGGTGGCGCTTCACCTGGGCAATCCGGGGACCCAAACTCTTGTGACCTGCCTTCCATCCCTCTCCCCTGCAGAAGATGAGCCGCTCCTGCCTGAAATCCCCAAATGTGATGCTGACATCCTGGAGACCACAGTAGCGATTCCTGGGTCTTGGCTATCCAATACTTTCCGAGACATCCTTACCCATCGGCCCTTCGTGTCTGAGTTCCATAACTTCATGTTTGGGCTGCAGCTACACACTGACTACCTCCAGAACAGTCAGTTCTCCATGTGGAAAGGTACTTCTGCCAGGGTGCTTCTCCAGGGCTGGGTTTGTTGGGAGGAAGGAAAAGAGAATATAGAGGCTGCCATGGAGAAAGAATAAGAAGACTCCTCTGGCCACCATCATCAGATAGAATCCAGGTCCAACTTTGGCAGTATCACCCAGCATGGAGTATTTGTGTGCCAGCAGGGGGTGGTGTGGTATTTAATTAATTGACGATATAACTGTACAGAATCTGCTCAACAATCCCAGCAGCAGAAACTGGACCCATTCCCCATATTGGGGAAATATGGACCCTTACTTTCTGCAGTTGTGCTCTGGAGTGAGTGGTGTCCCTTGGAGTTGGGCAAGAATGGCCCAACTCAGAAACCCCAAGGGGTGAGGAAGACCTTAACCTATGCTCTGGTGCCTTTGACTCAGCACCTCCTTCCCCAAGAAGGTTCCAAGGTTGACTTTCTACTTTCTTTGGTATTTTATTTGACCAGAGTGCAATGGCTGCTTGAGTCTGGCCTATTAGTCCTTGTTCTCACAGTCTAGGGCAGAAGAGACAGCAGGCCTGGGCCCAAGGTTAGCCTTAACTTATAGGATGTTCTTAAGCCCCTGCGACCCTTAAGACCCGCTGTGACTGGATCATAGTGGGTTTTCTATGCATAACCAAGATTTGCTAAACCCCCATTTTATTAGCCTAAACAGAGGAGCCATGGGACTCAATGGCAACCCGGTCAGAAGGGCGAAGGCTGGAGGCCCAGGCTGAGGGGAAGGAGGCTCCAGGCAGGGTACTCTGTCCACACCAGAAGCCCCACCCTTGGCTGACACCAGGGCACTAATCATATTGGTAACCAGAAGGCTTGGCTTTCAGACACGGTGCTGGACCACTTCCCAAACCAGCTGACAGAGTTTGCAAAACACTTGTGCCTGCTAGACACCGCTTTCTTTGTCAACTCCAGCTACCCGCCTCTCCTCAGGCCAGAGAGGAAAGCCGACCTCATCATCCACCTCAACTACTGTGCAGGGTCCCAGACGAAGGCAAGTGCAGCCAGCTGGGCTCCACCTGAGCCCTGGGGCCTGGGAAGCAGTGCCACACCTCAGAGGCCTCCATACTTTGTAAATAAATGACAGTGTCCTTACACCTGGTCCTTACACAGCTCTTTGAGGTAGACAGCACAGCTGCTATTATCCCAGTGTTACAGATGAGAAAACTGAGCCGTAGGGAGGGTAAGTGACTTGCTCAATGTCACACAGAAAATGAGCTATTTAACAGGTGTGGAACTAAGTCCAGTACTCTTTCTGTTGCATCACATTTCTTTAAAAATATTTTTAGTTGTAGATGGACACAATATTTTATTGATTTATTTTCATGTGATGCTAAGGATGGAACCCCATGCCTCACACGTGCTAGGCAAGTGCTCTTCCACTGAGTTACAGCCCCAGCCCACATCACATTTTTAAAGGCACATTTCAGAGTCCAGCCCTGTGACACTTGTCAGTTCTAAAAACCATGCATACCCACAGGAGCCTGACCTGCCACACCTGTACATGGCCAGCTCCAGTCACTGTCACACCCACAGCCTGCCCAGGTCTGTATTGGGTGAAACATCATCAACATCCTTCCTGGGAAGGAGCTCAAAGCTACAGGTGTACCAACCTACTGCCTCAGGTTTTTTGTCCTGACCTGCTTTTTTCTAAATGTATCCAAACTGGGCAATCAGTTGGGAACTGGAATTGTTAGCTAGAGAAGTCAGGAAGCTGGATCCATGGACTCTGTGTGTCTTGTCCATCCCCAGCCCTCCAATCTCAAACACGTCCTCTGGTGATATTCTAGCCCCTGAAACAAACCTGCGAGTACTGCACCACACAGAACATCCCCTTCCCCGGCTATGAGCTCCAGGATGAGGACGGCAGTCTCAAGGAGTGCTACCTGCTGGAACATCCCCAGGACCTCGATGCCCCCATCGTGGCTTTCTTTCCACTCATCAATGACACCTTCCAGAAGTACAAGGCACCGGGTGAGCCGCCTCTATCTGACTCTGTCCCCAGCACCTGCTGGCTCTTGTCTTTAGACTGTGGAAGTGTCCTGATAGCACTAACCCGTCAGGCTGGCTGAGCCAACCTTTGGACAGTTGGAAATGTCATGTCCAACTCTTTTAGTCCTTCAACACTCATTGACATCCAACTATGTGCCTGGCACTGTTTGGTGCCAGGAGAGTCCTAAGATGGACCCCAAGGAGCTTAGAGGGTGCGGGTAAGCATGTGAGTGTGCGTGCTGTCCGTGTTTTCATGCAGATATGTCTGTTAGCGCATGCAGGGTGGGCCGGGGGAAGGAGGTGGAAACAAATCCTTACAACCTGACATAGTAAGAGTCTCCAGTGAGTCCCTCTGCTGCCCCCAGGTGTGGAGAGGAGCCCTGAGGAGATGGAGCTGGGCCAGGTGGATATTTATGGCCCCCACTCCCCCTACGCCACCAAGGAACTGACCTATACGGAGGCTGCCTTTGACAAACTGGTGAAACTCTCTGAGTACAACATCCTGAATAACAAAGACAAGCTCCTTCAGTCTCTGAGGCTGGCAGTGGAAAGGAAGAAACGTTTCAAGAACCAGTGTCCTTCCTAAGCCCCTGGCAGCCCGTCCATCCTGTGTCTGCTTCTCCTGTCAGTGGCCCGGACTCTGTGGCCTGTGCAGGTAGCCCAGCTCTCTGGCGAGCGGTGCAGGCAGGCTGGCCTGGGCTTCCTATAAAAAAGTAACATTTTAAAAAGGGGAGAGAAACAAAGGAACATAACCAGGAGCCATATTGGGGTTTTATACTCCTAGGAATTTATTTTACCACTTTCCCGCAGGGAAGGCCACAAGCTCCCACGCATACCTCAAGTGTGAAAAGCAGAAACTGGCTGGTTTCCAAGAAATTTCAGACTCAGAACAGGAAGTGGAGGCTGTCCAACAGCCCTACCCTCTCTAACTCCTCTTCCTCCTCCTATGGCAGGCCTAGGGGAATGCTCAGGAAGACTGAAAAGTACTCTGGGTTTCTCTGGAAAAATACTTTTTAAAATTTAAGATAATAATTGCATTCTTATTATTTTTATAATCAATAACATTTTTTGATTTTTTTTTATTTTTATGAATCAAGGTATTAGTAGGAAGCCTGAAGCTAGAAGCTAGGCCAGGTGTCTCTAGATGGAGAGCTAGAGACATACTGGTCTCTACCACCATAAAGCCAAAGAGGTGACCCACGTTAGTGTAACCTGTCCAGCCACCCTGGGCTGGTGATACACATGATCCACACCAGGCAAAGTATCCACCTCCATGAAATGCCAAGCAAAGCCAATTCTGCGGCTCAGGCTCACAGACAAGGATCTGGGATGCAATTCAGGGAGGTCTAGGCAGGCCACAGGTAAATCGCTCCAGGTGGGCCATGCTGGCCAGCATGGCTGATGCTCACTGTTGAACTTGCCCCAGCAGCACCTCTCAGCTCTTACCACCGTATCACTCTGGCTTCCAGAAGAGATTATTTCTTTCTAAGTGTGATTCCTCTTATTTATCATGTAAACACCCCAATCAGGACATCCTAGTTTTTGGCGATTGACTCAGAACCAAACTATCAAGGATGAGCTCAGAAAGGTGAGGAGAGAGAACTCATCCTGAGAGATAGCTTCTCACCAAGTTGCTGGAAAAGCCCTAGGACACAGAGAAGCTCAATCAACATAATCAACATAACATCTGCAGGCTGGGGACTTCACTGAAGAAAGGTGCAAGCTGAGCCACGAGGATGCCTTCACCAGATAGAAGGTGAAGCCAAAAGGGCAGAAGGACATGTGGTCCAAGTGAAGCCCAGCAAGCTTGGAAGGCACCACTCTCTTTCTGGACATCCATGCTCCTTGAATAGTCCTCTGGTTGTTGGGAAAGTGGTGACAGGTACCCAAAATTTAGAAAAAAATGGGCTCCCATTTACTTCCTCATACTCAGTGTGATGTGGTGTTGGTTAGAAATGCAGACTCACAGGGCCCACCCAACCATGAGGAATGGAAACTGCATTGCAAGGAGACTCAGCCCCATCCCCACCCTGCCCAGATGATTCTTTGTGTGTTAAAATTTGGAGCATGAATTTATGCTACTTTCTCCCATAACCTTGGAAAGCATGAATCCATTGACTCTCTTGAGCCACTGATAAACAGGGCTTCTAGACCTTCAAAACTGGTCCCCACCCAGGTGAGGCTAACCTGAAATGTTGCCCTTTCCTCCACCAGAGCAGGCAGCTATAGGGAACAGGCTCCCCAGCAATCAGAACATACCAAGCTACGGACTTGGTTGTTGTAAGGTGAAGTTAGCCATGCATTGAATTCATCAGAACATGCAAATGAAGTTAATAAAATCATTGTATTATTTGAACACAGAATAAATGGCCATGTCGCTAAAGGTTGTCAGTTCATCTGCGTTCATTATCTGAGGATGCAAAACGGGAGTAGCTCCTGCCCTCATCCTGGGTCTGGCTCCCATAATGTTTTTCTCCCTCCAGGACCCCTCCTCACCACTGTTGGAGGCAGGAACAGGCCGTCTCCACCCCATGCCAACTCAGATGGCTTTATTTCCTACCCCTGGGTCCCACTTCTTGTGGTGAGGTCTCCTCTGTTTACATGAAGTCAGCTGCTTCAAGCCCAGATGTTTTTCAGGAAATTGATTGAGGGGAAGAAAAGGCAGTTGGCAACAACAGAGCACCTACTTTGTGCCAGCAGCCTATAAACAGTCTCTGTTCTGAAACTTGGGTTTTGGTTGGGGCAGAGGGGAGACATGGAGAGATTTTAATACATGAGAAATTAAACAATGACTTAGATAATAAAATGACGGATTTGTCATCAACTCTGATAGGAGAAAGCATAATGACCTGCAGAGGTCCAGGAGGCTTTCTCTCAGGTCCCCAGCACTCTGCCTAGAAGCACGATTAACTAGAAAATATAAAAACAATCCCTCCAACCCATCCTGTCTCCCCATCTCCTTCCTGGCTGAGGCCCATTCAGTATGTTTTTTGCCTCTACATCCCCAGGAAAACACTTCTCTCCAAGGTCGCCAATGTCCTCCATGGAGCCAAATGCCACCGGCCCTTCAAGTTCTTATCTTACTCAATTGTTTTCAGCACTTGGCACTGCAGACCACTCCCTCCTCCCTGAGACCCTCCCTTCCCATGACTTCCTTGCCAATGGCAATGGCTGTTCCATTCCATTTAGCTTGCAGACAAGTATTGCCTGCCAGTTACTGTTGAAGGTACTGGGACAATAAAAAGGAGTCAAAAGTGACTTGAAACTTCAAGGAGTGTCCTTCTGGTCCTGTGTGGGAGGCCTGCATGTGAGTTATGTACAAAAGGGCACACAGCAGGGCTCTCACCCCAACCACCTCCACAGGGAAGGGCCAGGTTACTTGGACACCTGCCAACTTCAGTCCTGGATTTCTGCCCACTGCAAGGTAGGAGCCCTTCCTCCTGCTGCTCCTCCCCTACTTCTCTTTAACTGCTGATATTCCACAGGTTCCTTAGCTCTCCCAACTTCTCACTCTATATTCTCACTCTATATTCTCCTTCTCACACACACACATTTCAGTCTTCCTATGCATTCCCCTATTTGTGTGTGTGTATGTGTGTGTGTGTGTGTGTGTGTGTGTATTCTGTACCCATTAACATTAGTTTCACTATATAACCTAAAGATCTAAAATTCCAGTGGCTTAAGCAAAATAAACATTTATTTCTCTATTTCATATCAGAGACCCAGGCTTCATTAAGTTCTCTTTTGCCATCCTCAAGATTGCCAAGATTGTCAAACATCACAGCTGGAGCTCCACCCATTAGGTTTGCATTCCAGGCAACAGAGAGGATAAAGAGGTCTTGGTTTTTGCAGACTATGACAACACCAAATCAGACATGGACTGCTTATTTCTGGATTTCTTTTATGTAAAAGAGAACTAAACTTTTATCTGAAGATGATAAGAATTTCCAGTGGTTCCTGCTATCTATTCCTAAGCAACAAACCCCCTCAAATCAAAAGGGTATAAAATAATTGATTTTTTATTATGCTCACAGATTTCTGTGGTTTAGGAATCTGGAAAGGTTTCTTTCTGGTCTCCGCTCCATGTTTGGGGCCTCTTCTGGAATGACTCGGTGGCTGGGTGTGGAGAAACTGGGGCTAACAGATTCACTTCCAGGATGACTCCCTTGCTCGTATGCTGGGGCTTGGGCTGGGAAACTCAGGATGAATGAAGGATGGGTTCAGCTAGGACTGTCAATGAGAGCACCTTCATGTGGCATCCCCAGCACGGTCAACCTTCTCAAATGGCACTCAGGGTAAAAAAAAAAAAAAAAAAAAAAAAAAAAAAAAACCCACAAAATTTACGATTGCAACCATTTTTAAGTGCACAGTTCAGTAATGCAGCAGACCTCCATAACTTTTACAGTTTACAAAAATGAAACTCTATACCCATTAAATAACTCCCCATTTCTCCTCCTTCCAACCCCTAATAGCCGTTACTCTACTGTTTCTATGAATTTGACAACTTTAGAAATCTCATGTGAATGGAATCACACAATATTCATCTTTTGTATTTCTTTTCCATTCGATGCTGGGGATTATCCAGGTCTTTGAACACACTAAGTACATGCTCAGTCACTGAGCTACATCCTCAACTCCATATTTGTCTTTTAAAACCTAGTTTATTTCACTTACTGTAAGGTCCTAAATTTTCACCCATGTTGTGGCATGTGTAAAAATTTCCTCCCTTTTCAAAGCTTTTACATATATATCAGTTATTTCTACAACTGATACATATATCAGTCATATAGAGATATAGATAAACCTCAGCTGATAAATGTATACTTTTTATAAATATAACATATATGTAACATTTTGTTTAGCCATTCATCCTTTGATGGACATTTGGGTTGTTTCTGACTTTGGGCTATGGTGAATAATGCTGCTGTAAATTGGAGGGCACAAACACTTCCTTGAGACCCTGCCTTCTACTCTTTGGGATATACATCTAGAAGTGGAATTGCTTGATCATATGATAATTTTATTTGAATTTTTTGAGGCACCACCATACTGTTTTCCATTGCATTTGCATATACATTGTAATCTAGCCTTTCTTTACTTCAAAATATACTCCAAACATTTTTGCAGATCATTAATAGTCTTCTCATATGACATATGACACAATTTTCAATGACTGAATAGGATTTATTTATTTGCTTAACTAATCCTTCATGGAAGACAACTAGTTACAGCTTTTTGCTATTATAAATGTTATGCTGATAAACAGCCTCTTGGATAAAGCTTTACATTTCCTATTTCTCAAGATAAATTTCTTCAGGGTAAATTTCCAAGTCAAAATTATAAGCACTTTTAACAACTAATAAAGGTCTAATTGACATATAATCAACTTCATATACCTAAAGTACATAATCTGGTGAATTTTGACATATGTATACAACTGTGAAATCATCATCATAATCAAGGTAATGAATAAAACCTTCACCAGAAAAGCTTTCTCATGTCCTTTGAGATCCTTCTTTAGCTCTGTCCTGCTGGGTCAAGTGGTATGTGTGTGATTAACTTTTTAAGAAACTGCCAAAGTATTGTACCATTTCCTTCCTTTTCAAAATACACACACACACACACACACACACACACACACACTTTGCATTTTCCCAATGACTAGTGATGTTAAATATTTTTTCATGAGCTTCTTTGCCCACTATATATCTTCTTTTGTGAAGTATCTCTTGATCTTTTTCCCATTTTAAAAAAAATGGATTGTTTGCTTTCTTATTAAATTTTAAAATGTCTTTATATATTCTGGGTACAAATCATTAATCAGATATGTGATTTATAAATATATTCTATAAGTCTTCACCTTGTCTTTCCATTCTCTTAATAGTCCTTTCAAAGGTCAGAATTAATTTTGATGAAGTACAATTTATCAAATTTTTTCTTTGTATGAATTATGCTTTCAGTGTTATTTAGAAATTTATGTGTCTGCA